ATGCCAGTTTCCCAGCTCTTCTGGTTGTTAAGTTAAAAACCCCGGATGAAAGTTGGAAGACTTACCCAGACGGAGTCCCGACAATATGCATTTTTCACCGCTGCTTCATCGCAAAACGCATAAAAAGCTATAAGCTGGGGAAAATCCATTCAGCGATCAGTTTCAGGTGGGTGACCTGAAATTAGACTTCATACCTCATTGAGTCTAGGCTTAAAATCTCGGATCCAAGATTGGACTAGTTTTATAAACTTAAATCAAAAAAGCTATGAATTCTAAAACTGGTTTTTAGTTCATTGGTACGAGCGGGTGGCCAAAAATCGAGTTTCAAAAATGATGTTTTCTTATCTTTGACCTCCCCAGCAAATATGAGTTGATTTTGGATCCTAGGATAAATAAGCCAAGAACCCTAAAACTTGTCGCTTTTCCTGCATTTAAGAGGGCATATTAGCGAAGGTCGGTTAGTACTGGTGCACTGCCAGTTAGTCACCTGAAACAGTTTATTGCAAAAACGCATAACTGCGCCGGCTGCCGTGGTGAAACGCTGTTCATTCAATAACTCACAGTTCGGAAGTTATGATTAATTAGCTTTAAAATTGAGCAGGCAGCATTTTGCGTGAGTCACTCAGTCGATGAGTCATTCAATCAGCTAGTTAGTTGAACATTCAGTGAGCTAGATATTCGGTCATTCCAGGAATCAGTTAGCAGTTAGACATTGCCTTTAATAATCACAGTTACAGGTAGACTAGATTCATGTCAGCATGCCAGCTACACGAATTCATTGCCTTCTATCGACAAATTTTTGCTGAGATTCAATCGAAACGTTACAATTATTGAATCTTCGAACGAAACGAAACTTTTGATGCAAACGAATCACCTAGTGGAAACATTTATAAAACACAAGAGTTGGCGGAATAAATGGAAGCTAATCGTTATCATGCCAAGCATGGAGGTGAGAATCCATCAAACCTTCCCTACCGCATTTCTTGCTTACCCCCTTCCACTCATCAGCTTTGACCGAACCCAACCTCGCATTTTGAATTAGAGAGTTTCTATCCAATTTTAAACTTCCCACTTTTGCATGGTACAATTTATTCACGGAACTTTCTAAATGCTTCGCAGCAGCGTGTATTTTAGGCACCATTAATGCATTAAGCGGAAAGCAAACACTATAATGGACCTTAAATCTGTTTTAAATTGTTTATTGTGAGGTCTTTGGTTATAAAATGTTAAGTTAAATCGTAAAATGCCAAGTTAAATTGTAAAATATTATGAAATAGTTAAGAAAAAAAGGGAGTTCATCCTGGTCAATGCAGATTTTATAGTACCGTTCCCTGGTGTTGGAAGCGGTCAGCACATGTTGCGTGCGAATATTCACATTGAAAGTGGAGTTCTGAACGAGACAAGCCAACAGTGCGTACCAAGAGCATCATAAATGAAATGAGTAGTCAAAAAACTGATAGATTGGAGCATGAATGTGGAAGCCACGTGAAATTATTTAGTGCATTGTTTACAAATTTCTTGTGCAAAACCAGCTGAGTGTGTTTGATCCCGCTCGTTGATTCATCATCTTTGCTGGCGTAAAGTGTTATTAGAAAACAGTAAACATATGAAAAGGTATAAAATCCGACGCGAAAAGTACTTTATTCTCCTCAGCTAAACAAGAAGACAGCTGATGTAGGACAGAAGTGAACACCGGATCACGACATGACATTGCAAAATATATAAAAAAATTCCACATGCGTTTGAGCAATTCATTGCTTTACTTCAAGCAGCCAAGTAGCAATCCTTTTTGCGCTTGTCAGTGACTTCTCGACAACATGCATTTTTGCTCGAATACGATCAAAAGAACAAAAAAAAAGCATAAAAACTAGCCGTAAGCTGAACTCTTTTTCATAAACAGACTCAGAAGATCATTAGAGATAAAGTGCGAAAATGAGAAAAAATTTGGACCGTAAGTAGAGGGAAAAAAGAAATGGTGCAAAATTTACTAAATCAGAGTAAAATTTGGCGATAAAGAAGTGTAACGTTCCGGAGGTGCAGTGCCTGGCTGCGAGGAAACGCTCTGGAGCTGAGCAGCACCACGCAACAAGACACACTCCTTTCTTAGTGCAATATTAAAAGCAGCTGCAAGCTGCCACCGGACCCGCACAATAATTACAAGCGGCAGTAGCCCCAAACTGCCGCCGCGCACTTCAGCTTCCAGCGAGACAAAACAATTATAATCACCATTTCATTTCCAATCATCACATTAAATATCACGGAGGGGGGAACTGGAGCCAAGAGACAAGACATTTGCATATTACAAGAAACCGAAGGGAAGCTGGGCGAGGCGAAGGGGATTTAGCCTCCAACTTCGCTTCCTTGTTACTCGCTGCTTCTTCCTTTTGCAACAGAAGAATACGATCAAAAGAATATCAAACTGACCCGTGAATGGTTTATGTTGAAAAGCAAAAGCTGGATTCAGCCAAACTGCTGTAAAAGCCCGAAGTAAGGTACAGTTCTAGACTGTGTGACCGAATTTGTAGCGATCTTCTTTTCATGCACCAGAAGTAAAACACAGTAACAGTTTATTACAGGATGGCGAGCCGCGAGAGCCAGAGCAAGCAGCAGTCGAGGTAATGCGGTCGATTAAACATTTGTACGAAGCGTTACCACATCGCACTGTGCTGGTTGTAGTGCGAAGTTCCTCGCTACAGATATGGCAGGATGCATCCAATGCGCACAGGGCATGTGCGACGCTACTGGAACCTTGGAAGCTGTACGAAAAATTTAATTCTGTTTCGGTTTGGGACCAGGTTTGCTTCTGTCCTCCGTAATTCATTCTCCGTTAGAGTCTGATGCACTCAGAAGTAGCTCGAGTGGAAGCAAGTACCAATCGTAACCATCGGCTGACAGAAACTATTGTGGCAGATATGCCAAGAATACCAAAACCATACGGGCTGTTAGTGTGAATATCCCTTGTTAATGATTTTACTGTGATGCTTCAACACGGGCGCAACCATGTCAGGGTCTTCGATCTTGGATTGCATACCCTACATAGTACCCACTACCTGTTCAACGTATTTGCGCTGTGCCTTCTGTGGTTAATCGAGTGATCGTTTACTTTTTCGCAGGTAACACTCACTAATCCCGTTATCCACCCCTTGTCGGCAAGGCGATCAGCATGTTTTGCTCATAAGAGTTTATGTTTTCGCGCAGTAACAGTAATATTCTAAACACTGCTCATCTGAGGGAGAGCCTCATTTAAATAATAATGAAGAGATACGTCAAGCAACTTTCGCTCCTTTTCGTCGCTCCCTGCGTCACAACTAGTGCCCTATGTACAGTTTTCATAAGTGAATACGCTTCGTTTCATATGTCACTGCCGTCGGTATAACGGTGTTAAAGGCCTAACAGTGTCCTTCCAGTTCGGGTGTTTAGAGCTTGTAAAAATAGCACTACGAAGGGCGTTTCGACTTTCCAGCAAGCAAGTCTAGGCATCAAGCTTCTTTATAAACGATCATTTGGAATTCCATAGTTCTGAAAATCCAATCTCTGTATGGATAAAAACTTGATAATGATGAAGTCAGTGTGGCTCTTAACTTAACTGTTTGAACAACTAAGCTATTTTAGGTGGAAAAAATATGCGAAATGCATTTTCAAAGTTCCTTGTTTACGGTGCAAATTTTGCCGCTAATGAGTGATGCCTCACTGCCTTTTATATCGGGCTCCAGTCAGTAAGTTTCTTCTGATTTTTTATGAAAAGGCCATGGGAAATTTCTGCCCTCTCTACACTTGCGCCAGACTCCTTAATTAACGATACAACAAAAACCGTTTTTCACGTGAGGCGGCTTCCTAAGAAGATATGACCAGGGCAAGC